TATCTGCTTACCCCCAGGGCATCCAAGATGTAGGTGACTTTGTTTCTTCAGTAGAACACAAACGAAGATTTTTAAATCAAACTGTTGCAGTCTGTCAGTCATATAATGGCAGTCAATGGGCTCCACGGCTTTGAGAGTAAAAAAACACCGACAAAACCAAATTAAACCCTGCGGCTCGTGATGATACATTGAGGTATTAAGACACAAAACGATCGGTCTGTGCAAGAAACTGAACAGTATTTATATAATTTTTTTACCTCTGATCCACCGCAATGTCCACCTGTCCTGAGCGCGTTCACAACATCTGACGCGTAACACGTGCAGTCTGTCAGTCATATAAATGGCAGTCAATGGGCTCCACGGCTTTGAGAGTAAAAAAACACCGACAAAACCAAATTAAACCCTGCGGCTCGTGATGATACATTGAGGTATTAAGACACAAAACGATCGGTCTGTGCAAGAAACTGAACAGTATTTATATAATTTTTTTACCTCTGATCCACCGCAATGTCCAACTGTCCCGAACGCGTTCATAATATCTGGAGCGTGTACGTGCTCTGGCATAGTCGACGCATGAGCGGAAGCGATCTGTCACATATATACGTCACTCATTGGATGTTGGGAATGTGCTCAGGACAGTTGGACATTGCGGTGGATCAGAGGTAAAAAAATTATATAAATACTGTTCAGTTTCTTGCACAGACCGATCGTTTCGTGTCTTAAGACCTCAATGTATCATCACGAGCCGCAGGGTTTAATTTGGTTTTGTCTGTGTTTTTTTACTCTCAAAGCCATGGAGCCCATTGACTGCCATTATAATAACACTGACAGACTGCAACGGTTTGTGTTAAAAATCTTCGTTTGTGTTCTACTGAAGAAACAAAGTCACCTACATCTTGGATGCCGTGGGGGTAAGCAGATAAACACCAAATTTTCATTTTTGGGTGAACTATCCCTTTAACACTTCCATAAGAAGCTGCTCACATCTGTACCAAATTCAAAAATAAGAGTACAAACCTGTGCAGGTGTGTCTGACTCATTGATTGGCTGACCATCAAACCTGAACCTAATTTGCCTTATAGATAAACCCTAAAAAAAAAAAAATAATAATTCAAGTTAGATCAAGTAGATCTGCATATCAATGTAACATCAAATGTACAATGCTTCATGATGTGTGCAGATCTAAGGATCACTGGAGCTCAAGCTGCAGTCTCACCTGTCTTTCGCAGTAGGCCTTCATCAGTTTGCTGAGGGGGGTATGCCTCTTAATTTTAAACTGGACCACAGATCCATCCTGACCGGCCACTTTCAAGTTGATGTGGTCATTTTCTGTCTTCACGCCCTCCTGAAATGAAACATGCAGAGTGTGTGTTAAATAAAGACGAATCATGAACATGCACTGTGTTGTTTTAATCACACTGAAGGGTCTACACACACACACACACATCAGATAGTTGATTTGAGCTAAAGCCACATTATGCTTCACATGCAGTCCCTGTATTCACAACATAAGATATTATGATACTGAATAACACGTTTTAAGCGACTAACGACGCGCTAAACAACCAGACTTGAGTCTATACCATCAGCATCTATTAAAACACTGCTTGGAAAAAAAAAAAGGGCTGCGACGTGAACAGCTGTGCGACGCTTTCGGTGCAACTGCGTTTGGCGCAAAGTTCAAGCAACTATCCGCCATGAAAGAAAGCCAATCTGAGTATCTCGTTGATGCTGAAACGAAGCGAAATACTGCCGGTTAATTTTTAACGACAAGAGATGTTATAATTCTCCATGTAGTTGGATGGATGGCTGAGTTTCATGACCATATGCGGAAAATGCGCAAAATCTTGGTTGAAAACCTCTTTGTTTCCCCACATATCAAGTGCAGGACCCAGACATCTAAAGTCATGCATTATAATCACATTAAAATATACCTCTCCGTGCTGCTGGAGCTCAGAACACAGAGACATGCATGTACCTTTGGCTTCTCTTCTGACATTTTTGTAGAAACGCAGGATTCTCCCGGTAATGTGGATGTAACGCTAACACAAGTGCGCTGCTGCCCGCTTCTGTCCTCCCCGCGCTCTGCAAGAACGTGCAAACCGGATTCCCTCATTTGATTGGCCCGGGTAAAATCACGTGATTCCCAGCAGGGAGCCGTAGCCAGAGAACACGCAAAATCAACTCGCCCATTTTATTGGACAGTATGACACCACGTGACCAATCCTCATGTTCTGAGGCTCTTTAACTACAAATTACTTTCAGTTACGAACATAATTTCAACATGATAATGTGTTATTACTTTTGCTTAATGAAAAATATTACATTACTTCTTTGGGGTCTCATGTATAAAAACAAAAACATGATTAAACATGATATATTTCAAATGTAATTACATATAAAATAACTATATAAAAATATCAAATTACATATAAAATAAATAAACTTACATCACCCCCCAAAAAAACATGAAAACATTGTACAGTTGATGTTTAATGTGTCACAAAATTACTAGCAATACAACCAATATGATTTAGGCAAAAATTTTACATTTTTATCATATACAGTAAACAGAAAACAAATGTACAATATTCACTTTTATTGTTTTCTTTCTCACAGTTTATTTGACTTTTGTAAATTGCACTGACAAATAAACCCTTTTTAATAAGCTAGTAATCAAAACACTGAAAAATGCAGGCAAACAGGCAAACTATATTGAAATGCCAACACACTAGCAAAGGCAGAGACAAATCAATTTCACTTTAGAAAGCATATGAAATGTGTAGGAGATAAATCTATAAAGCACACTGGATTATAGCACGTGGTATATTTTATGAAAGACAAGTCCTAGTTTAATCAGAGTAAAAATGCTACACAACTAAAATCTGCTGAGGCTAAATAAAAAATGAATTTCATGTACAGCCAACCAATCAACAGGCAAAGGCCAATGCTGACTCAATCATCAGCATGTCTTGCTTAATTTGTTTGACGCTTATTTGGATTTGCAAATGTCATTAATGTACTATACTTACAAGGCTTCATAAATACAACATCTAAATTGTGGTTTGCTGGAAGATTAACTGAAAATCCAAGTGTGAATGAATTAAATTTCAAGCCAAAGGCAACAATGTATGTTTGTGTGGTCAGCTGGTAACTGGTATATTTAGGATCTTTCTAACTCAAAGAAAAATGGAGTGTTGGATATGCAGGGAAATATGTTCTTTTTTTACGACAGGTGCGAGGTAAAAGAAAAGACAACAGTGGTGCATCATCAGAAGTTTCTTAGCTATTCTCAAATCTGGAGTACGGGTTATCCTTTTTCAAACCTAAAACAGAGGGAGCACAGATAAAACTCTGAAACACAGTGTAACTACAGTGAACTAAAAAGATACTATTTATTTTATATCATTTATGATGAAAGAGAAGTCTTACCGTATTTCATTCTCATTTCTTCATGCCTCTGCCTCATCTCTGCTTTCCTGCAATCAAATAAAGAACTTTTTTTCTTACTGAGCACTATTTCATCAAGACAAGACTCACTGGTCTCCACAACTCTTAACAAAATAATCAAACGTATGAAATACATTTTCTCAAAACAAACCGTACCTCTCCTCTTGGCTGAACTTTCTCAGGTGAGCTTGTCTCTCCATTCGCTCATCACTCCTTTTAGACCTTTCAAATTTTCAGGGGAAATTAAATGTAATCATTTCTTATGTGTTCCAATGTTATAGTGATTTGTTATTAACAATTAATAGCAGTAAATCTCTCTCTCTCTCTCTCTCTCTCTCTATATATATATATATATATATTGTTT